GGAGGGCCCGGGCGGGGGCCGAGCCTGGCCGGCCAGGCAGGCCGGGGACGCGGCGCTCGTTTCCCCGGGTGGCTTGGGGCTGTGAGGCCCGGCCGGCGGGGAGAAGGGAGGAGGCGCCGGCCGGGTCCGAGCCCGCCCCGGGGGCGGTGCTGAGGGCGGGCCGGGGCGGGGCGGGGCGCGGGGGAAGAGCAGGGGGCTAGGCGGAAAAGAGAAGGGGGCGTCCGCGCGCACCCGGCTTCCAGGGGGACATCGTCCAGGCGCGGCTCCTCGGCCCGGGGGCGCAGGCGCTGCCCAGAGGACCTCGGCTGCCTGCGCCGGGCTGCTGTTGGGGCCAGTGTCCCCAGCAGCCCTAGGACGACTCTGTGACTCTGGCATTTGTCCTTCTTTTCACCCTTCCGCACTGACCCTCGCCCGCCCACAGCCGTTCTCCTGAGGCCCCAGGCGACCCTTTCTGCTGCCGCTGCACTAAGCCTCTGCACTCAGCCCCTGCACCGTGCTGTCTTTTACAAGGCAGTGTTTCCACAGCGGTGGGAACCGAGCCCAGGTTCCGAGGAGCCAGCGACTCCTCCGAGCCGGGGCTGGGGGCTCCCTGGGCACGAGCCACCTCAAAGTGGGGTTACCTTTCTCACCTCTTCGCATCTCCTCCCCTCACTCGCCACCTGCCAGAGCACCAGCCTCGTGCGCTTGCTGCCCCCTGGCGGTCCAATCGGGGCAGCACGGGGGCATGAGCGGCAGGAGGGCAAAGCCGCCCACTTTCCCCTCACCCCTCATCCCTTCCTCTCTAGACAGGGCCTGGGATTCTCACTTCCTCATCTTTGAGTCTCATCCCCTCCCATCCCACCCAGAGCAGAGACAGTGAAGCAGGATCCAGAGAGTGGCTGCATTGGTAGACAGCGAGAGGCGGCCAAGGGCAGGGGGAAGCAAGGGGTGACTGGGAGGAGAATTTGGGGAGACAGACAGTCATGTGGGGAGGGGTGCAAGGGTCAGGGTCTGCAGAGCAGAAGGGGCTTCAATGCGAGTTCACCGCGAAGGATAGACTCCTCTGTGAGTAATACCACCACCACCACCACACCTAATGTTTATGAAGCCCTTGGAATGTGCCGGCTCTGTCCTGAACCCTGCATAGATGATCTAATTTAATCATCACAACCACAATTCGAAGTAAGTACTATTATTATCTTCATTTTATAGATGAAGGAACTGAGATTTAGAGAGGTTAAGTAATTTCCCCAAGGTCATAAGCTAGTAAGTGGCTGAACTGGGATTTGAATTTAAACCTGGATGGCTTGACTCCGAAGCCATGTACTTAGCTGCCGCACAGGACTCCAAAGGCCTGTCTGCAGCTTTTCTGCAGTCCTCATTCCCCTGCAGAATTTGACACTATTGATGCAGCCTGCCACACTCTCCCTTGGCTTCTCCACTCTACAGGAACATGCTTCCCTCCCCACCCCCTCGATCTGCTCCTCTGTTTCCTTAGCCGGAGCATCCTATTCCTTACTGTCTAATTCTGCTTATTCCCCAAGCCAGAGGCCTTGGCCGCCTTGCCCTTCTCTCTCTGGTTTTTCCTTAAAACAAAACAATAACATAATAGTCATAGCAGCTAACATTGATTGAGCGCTTCATGCAAGGCATGATTATGTAACAGGGTTGTTAGAACTATGAGTGTCGGTGCTATTAGTAGCCCATTTTATAGCTGGTAAAAGTGACGTTCGGGGTGACTGAGTGATTTGCCTAGGGACACACAGCTAATACTTTGGAACATCAATTCACATCCTGCAGGTCAGATACCAAAATTAGTGGCATTCAACACCCTTTTAAGGCTATCTATGTTTATAGCTTTATTATGATTATTATTATTTAGGATGGTTCTGGGGACTGAACTCAGAGCCTCAGACATGCTAGGCAAGTGCTTTACTACTGAATTATACCCCCCAGCCCCATGCTCAGGGCTTTAAGTAACTCTACTGTCAGAGACTCTGGATGAGTCACGTAAATCAACTAAATGTCTATGTAACCTTGGATAAGTTAGTTGTCTTGAGGCAGGCATGGACTACATAGTAAGTTCCAGGCCATCCTCTACTACATAGTGAGCCTTTTTTCTTTTTTAGAAATACAGTTTTACAATGACCTCTTATTTTAACTTTAAGTACTATTTGGTTTTTGAGATAGGGTCTTTTTTTTTTTTTTTTTTAGTACAGGGTCTATAGGGTCTCACTACACAGATCAGACTTGCAGTGATCCTCCTGTTTTCAGCCTCCCACGCACTGGGATTACAGGCGCACACCCTGTCTCAATGGTCATCTCACTGTGCCCTGGGGAAAGGGTCGGCACAGCACACCAAGGATCGAAACTCGGTCCCTGTGTCTGCCTAAGGAGGTGCTTTAATCCACTGAGCTATGTGGCCGACCCTTGAGATAAGCTCTTGCTGTACAGCTCAGGCTGGTCCTGAACTCACAATGTAGCCCAGGCTGGCCTTGAACTCACAGTAATCCTTCTGCCTCAGCCTCCCAAGTGCTGGGACACAGGCATGAGCCACCATGCCTGGCTGAGAATCTGTTAAAAGGAAAAAGGGGGTAGGGGCTGGGGAGATAGCTCAGTGGTCTAAGCGCGCCTGGCACGCATAAGAACCCAGGTTTGATCCCAGGTACTGCATGTGGGTACACTATGCTGGCCACTGAAACTGGGCAGCCACCAAAACCGGGTGTGGTGGTGCCTGCCTGTAATCCCAGGGCTGGGGAGGCTGAGACAGGAGAATCACAAGTTCAAGCTACTGCATAGCGAGACCCTGCACCAAATAAAGATTAAAACAAAACAAAAACCTACAGTGCAACCTTTGATTTGAGTTCTTTGGGAGTTTAGGGGGAGAAGTTCTGGTTCAAAGAGAACCCTATTTGCAGTCAGATGCTATGGGCTCAAATTGTATCTCAGACACATACTGGGTCAATTTGTGTAAATTACTAAAGCCTTTTGAGCCTGCATTTATTTATTCATTGGTCTTTTTGAGTCAGGGTCTCACTATGCAGGTGGGCCTTGAATTCACTTTGTAGCCCAGGCTGGTCTTTTTTTTTTTTTTTTCGGAACCGGGGATTGAACTCAGATCCTTGCGTTTGCCAGTCAAGCGCTTATCCTACTGAGCCATCTCCCCGGCCCCCCAGGCTGGTCTTGAAGTCCCACTGTTCCTTCTGCCTCATCCTTCCGAGTGCTGGGATTACAGGTATATGCCACCACGCCTGGCTAAGCCTGTGCTTCCGTCATCCACTGTGAAACAGGAACGACAATGTGTGTTTGAGGGGCTTTGGTGAGACTAAGCCCGCACATGGCAGGGTCTGCCGCAATGCCTGGTGCACACACAACTCAGTACATATCTGGGGCTGATGATGGCTTGGTGGCGGGTGATCTGAGTGGAGTAAGCCTGACTCTCCCCAGCTCTTTTGCAGTAGCCGGCGCTGCAGGCCTCAGGCTCTACCGGCCTGTTGGTTCTATGTGGCGCATGTCCCTCTCCACATCTCTCCAGCATGTCCTAAAGTGACTCCAGAACTTTCGGCTGCTTCCCTCCTCTAAGGCCTGCCTCTGTCAACAATGACTTCGGCTGCCCTTGACTCATCCTTTCTCTTCCCCTGCCCTGGTGTGTTGGTCACCATGGCCTGTCAGTATTTCCTTGCAGACACCTCACTGAGCCTCCCTTCCTCTCCCTCACGCGGCCCCCGCTCTGTCCAGTCTGACCCCACACCCCACCCTGGCAGTCCTTCTTGTCTTGCTGGGACAGCTTCCTAATGGCCATCCTGCCTGGCCTCGGCTCCCTTCTGGAGGGCTGCCCCCCACACCGTCCTTCTCAAGGCCCTTTCCTGTTCAAGTGTGGATGTGCTCCCTCTTTTTGTTGTACTAAATCCGGGCAACTTTTCCAGCTGTCCTGGCTACCCCTGCTGGTCCTATGTAGCTGTGGACCCCACTGTGGTAGAACTTAAAAACAGGCACACATCTTTCTGCTTATTTTTGTGGTTGATTCAATGTCTGCAGCTTTTTACCTCCCTGGAGCCACTTTTATTTATTTATTTAGTACTGGGGTTGGAATCCAGGGGCTCTGCACTGAATGACAGCCTCAGCCACTTTCTCTTTCTCTTTTTTTCTTGGCTGGCTCAGCCTGCCCTGAAGGTGGGGCTAAGGGTGGGGCTAGCGAGGCGTGTGGTGCCAGGGACTGAGCCAAGGTCCCCTGTGCCTGCCTAAGCTTGCCTAAGCAGGTGCTTTAGATTCCTGAGCTATCTCACAGGCCCTTCTTTCTTTTTTTGTTGAGGCAGGATCTCACTTTGTAGTTCAGGCTGCTCTTGAACTCCCTAAGCAGCCCAGGTTGGCCTAAACCCAAAGTAATCCTCCTGCCTCGGCCTCAGCTGGGATTACAGGTGTGCACCATTTCACCTAGGTGCTACCACCAGTGGAGGAGGCTCAGTACATCTCTACATGATAGGATGATTCGGGCTGGGGTATGATATAAGCGATTGCCTGTCAAGTACAAGGTCCTGAGTTCAGTCCTCAGTACCACAAAAATAAAATAAATAGATAGAATGATTCACTGGAGGAGAAAGTGAACTAATTCATATAAAACACTCAGTATAGTATCTGGCCAATAATATTTGCTTAGCTGCTCAGGCTTAGCAAATATTAGCTATTATGGTTGTTAATAGTATACTGGACACAAGTGGGCATGGTGGCACACGCCTGTAATCCCAGAGGAGGCTGAAACACAAGGATTGCTGAGAGTTGAAGACCAGCCTGAACTACATACTGAGATCCTGTCTTAAAAAGAAAACAAAAAACAAAAAACAAAAAAAAACAACTATCTCTACCAGACAGAATGAGGAAGCTGGGACGGCGAGGAGAGATGAGGAGAGAAGAGGGCAGGCAAGGCTCAGGGAGAGGGCTCAGAAGCTGCGCCAGTGAGGCTGCTACTCACGGTGCTGTAGTTGCCGAAGAGGCCCAGGGTAGGGGCCGGCTCCAGTGGGAAGGGCAGGATCTGCTTGAGGTCCAGCGGGGGCTGCATGATGGGGGGCTGCCGTAGCAGAGGGAGGGGCCCTGCCCGGCTCAGGCTGCCTGTAGGGCAGAGAAGACATTCTGTGGGGTAGGAAAGGTGAAGCTTGGGAACCCCGCCCAAGCCTGGAGCCTGACTCCCTGGCTGTGCCCCCCCCCTCAGAAACTGTGACCCCTGTGCATGCGTGTGCTGGTGTGTGCAGTACACACAGGTCCTCTGTTGGTTCCAGATGGATGAGCTCCTCAGCCCGCTTGTTGCCCGGGGGAGGACACAGAGCTGGGCTTCCCTTCTGGGTGGTTTTTACTTCCCCCTCCTCTATCCTCCCTCCCCCAAGACCTTTAGGCAGCTTCTAGACCCAGGAAAAGCTTAGAACTACAAGCTGCCTGCGGGACCAAAGAGAACTCAGAGACCCCAGACCCTGGCCACTGGTGACTTTTCTGGCCTTGCTTTCCTCCAGGGTATCCAAAAGTTTTGTATCATCCCAGGAAGAACAGAATCCAGTGGGTGGCTCCTCCCATCTCCCAGAAGGCAAGAGAAGGCCTGGACCTGGAAGAAGGTTGCAGACCCTTCAGGGCCCCTACAGTTAGGACTTTGTTTGGATCACGGCTCTCCAGCAATGGTCCACATCTTTGGGTAGGTGGTGGGTGGGTGGCGTGCGCTCTGGGAGGTGGACGCATGGGCCATGTGTGAGCCCTGTGGCTCCCCAGGGTGCGCAGCTCGGGCTCTGCAGGAGGAACCAGAACTAGCCTGTGAGGGAAGTGCCTGGGCCTGACCCTAAGGGGAAATGAAAGTCCAGGCCAGCTGCTCAGCCGCCCTCTCTGAGACCTCTTCCTCCCCTGGAGTGGTGGAGGTTGGGAGCAGCCCACCAGGCTTCAAGGGACAGCCAGCACGCAGGACCCTCAGGCTGCCGCTGGCCCAGCTTTCCTCCGTGACCACACGCCCACCAGCTGTGGTGTCCTGGCTGCCCTCTGCAACTCCACAACCTTTGCCAACAATGGGACCCAGCAAACCCAGGAGGCTTCCTGCCCTTCCTGTCCTCCCTTGACCTTCTGAGGGCAGGGGGTACCCAGATCCTTTCCTGTTCCCCCCATAAAGACTGTCCCCTTTCATACCTTCAGTGTCTGCTGTCCGCTGCCCCCAGGCAGTGGCCTGGCCCTGGCCCCCCAGGGGCCTGGGCCTGACAGCAGTCCCCTTCCCTTGGTTCTGCCCTCTGCCCCCTCCCTTGCTATCCCCCTCCCCCAGCCCAGTCAGTCGAATCAGCCAATCAGAATCCAGGAAAAGTGGGGCAGAGGGGAGGGCGGGGGAGCAGGGATTAGGGGAATCTGAGGCGAGAGGGAGGGGGTGGGGAGGGTTCAGGCACAGCTGGGGGCAGGGAGCTGGTCCAGAAGGGTCTGTCCTTCTCACCCACTGCCAAGACTGGGTGGCCAGGGTGCCTGAGGCAGGGAGGGTCAAGGCTGCTGGGAGCTTGGGCTTGCAAATTCTAATGCCTGAAGGAGGGTGGGATGCTGGATTTAGGCTGTTGAGCTGCTAGGGTCTGTGTGCCTTGAATTCATGTCCTCCTCTGGCATCTTCAGGGTTGGGATAGGGTGGGAAGAGAAGAGAGAGCAGATAGACAGACAGACCAACAGACATTCCTATTTTTGTCAGAATGGGGAAGAATGGTAGAAACAGGAATGGGCCACTGAGAAAAGGGGCAGAGACACTAAGAAGAAAAGGACAGAGAACAGTGGGGTGTGCATAGGTGAAAGAAGCTGCAAAGCCAGACGCTGCTGAGAAGCAGGACCTAGAGCTTAAGATGAGAGTGGAGAGGCCAGAGCAGAGGACAGAAAGATGAAAGAGAGTGACGGACAGATCGCAGGCGGACCGCAGGCGGACGGACCCTCTCCCCTCCGGGCAGTCCCTCGTGGCCTGTCCCCTCTGTGCCCAGCCCTTCTTGCTGCCTGGCACTCCAAGCCTGGGCAGCCTTAATGAGCCTCAGGAATGGTGCGAGAAACCTGGCCCCTGCCCCGGCCCCAGCAGCTGGTCTTGGCTGGCACTGGCCCCACTCACACACCGTGCGCTGCAGCTTGGGCCCTGGACCCTTTCCCTGGCTCTTGACACTTGGGGCTTCCACCCTCAAACTCATCTTAGAGGAGGAACTGAGTTCTTGGAAAAGAAAGTTTGAGAAGTCACGATGTACTGTATCCTCACACTTACTTGGAAGGAGCTCAATCTCTGAGGTGGCAATAGTTCTACAAAGTAGTTGATATTACTTTTTCATTTTTATAAGGAAACTGGGACTCAGAAGTCACCAATCGTAGCTGTCACTCAGCTGGTAAGTATTAGGGCTGAGATTCAAATCAAGATCTGTCGTATTCTCTAGCAGTCACTTCCAAAGGGCTCTGATTTATCTCTGAAGCAGAGATTTGCATGAAGGAGTCCACCTTGTTTGGGGGTGGGGGGTGGGGAAAGCAAGCTCCATGTATTTTCTTGGGTTGGGGTCCTAATTTTAACTCAAGTGGATGCAGGAAAGCAGGTAGAGGTGTCCTGTTCCCTATGGCCAGTAATTCATCTTTTCCACTCCTGGGATCCCTGGGGAGGGGGTGGGGACAGGGGGTCAGGAGAGGGAAGGAAGTGGGGGAACCGGAGACTCACTGGCCCCTTCCCAGGGTCCGTTCTGCTGTGAAATCTGAGGTGGGGAGAGGGGCAGATGGCAGTTTATGGGTGTGTGTGGGGACAGAAACAAGGCTTGTGCTTTCATGCAGCCCAAGCCTAAGGCCTTGTCCCCTTCCACTGAGGACAGTATCTGGCACTTTCTGAGGGCTTGCTACAGGGCAGGCGCAGTCCCCAGCTGATGCCTGCACCGTGCCTAGGTGGCTGGGTAGTTCCTTGGCCTCGCTCTCATTTCTCATCTGTCAAATGAGAACAACAGCTCCTGCCTCGAAGAGCTAATGAGAGGATTGAGCGGGCCCATGTAAAGTGCTGGCGTGCCACAATGTGAGCTCAATAAACGTTTGCTGCATAAATGAATTCGCATCTTATGGATGATGACAGCTGGCTCAGAGAGAGGGAGTTACTTGAGCAAGGTCACACAGCTGGGGGTGGGGGCAGGATTCGAACCAGTCTTGCTCCACAGGCAGGGCTTGCAAACACTACACTCTTGGGGTAGGTTGTGGAAGGGAAGGGAAAAAGCAAGAACTGAGGGAGAGCCAACGAAGCAGGCACGGAGGTAAGGAATTCTGGGCTTTTGTCCTCTGGCTAGGTGAGGGCTTCAGGCAGGTCTGGAGGAGAGAAAATTGTAGTGCCTGCGTGAGCCTGTGCCAGCCAGGAAAAGGCAGGGCTGGGAGGAGCCGGGCCTGGCTGGGGCAGGACACCCCAGAGAGAAGCTCATTAGAGTAATTACCTCCAGCAGACACAGCCCCACCCAGCTCAGAAGGTTATTGCTTTTTTTTCTTTTCCTTCCCTCCTTCCTTTTTTCCTTCCTTCTTTCTTTCCTTCCCTCCCTCCCTCCCTTCTTTTTTCCTTCCTTCCTTTCATTTTGGCTTTTTTGAGACAGGGTCTCACTATGTAGTCCAGGCTGGCCTAAAACTCAGATTCTCCTGCCTCAGCCTCCTGAGTGTTTGGATGGCTGTAATGTACTACTGTGTTCAGCTACATGCTTTATGAAGGACAGCTTCCAATGCACCGTGGACGGTGAGCTTGCAGACCCTAGGACAGATGTCCACGGCCCACTTCCATACCCTACCTAGCCTTGGGCACTCTGGGCCTGCTCAGCTTTCCCTGCCAGCATTTGCCCACAGTCAGGCCACATCTGGCTCCCTCCAGCCCGCTGGGGCCTGGTCCTTTCCTTCTCTTTTCTGTTCTTGCTAGGTCCCCAGCCCCAGCTCTTGGGCTCTCTTAGGTGGGGCTCCAGGGCAGAAGGCCTGGTGACAAAGAGTGGGAATATCTTCGGTGAGGTGAGCTGGCTCTGGGAGTGGCTGGCTGTGTCTGAGAAGGCACAAGAGCCAGGACAGGTGTCAGGGTAGGGCTGAGGGGCAGTGTAGGTCTGAAGACTGGGCTCATATGAAATTAAGATCAGAGAGGTATCAGCAGGCAGCTTGGCCCAAGGTGCTGGAAGGCACAGGGTCAACCCAGGGCAAAGTGGGAATTAGAGTCTGCGGCCAAGGCAGAAACTGAGACTTCTTTTTGATTTTTTGTACCAGGGATTGAACTCAGGATCTTACACTTGCCAGGCAGACACTTATGTTGCTGAGCTATCTCCCCAGCCTTTATCTTTAATTCTCTCTCCTCTCTTCGCCCTCTCTCTCTCTCTCTCTCTCTCTCTCTCTCTCTCTCTCTCTCCAGACCTCTCTTGGCTTCTTTCTCCCAGAAATCAGGGTAGGGGCGGGAGCAGATCCTGAACTCTGGGTCTTAGCTACTTGACCAAGTTCACTGGGTCTGCCCCTCTCTGCCTCAACTCTTCCATCTTGGCAGGAGGCAGGCTGAAGCCTGGAAAGGCTTTGAAGTCAAGGATGAAAGAGACAAGGGGATGATTATGAGCAATTCCTAAGCATCATCCCTAATAATCCTAAAGTGGATGTGGGTGGGGCAGTGCCTAAGGAGGAGGTGCCAGGCAGGGAGGAGCCAGAGCCAGACCTCTGGGAAATATTTTCCACTAGACTAGAAAGGATCTCTTCCAGGGACCTGGCCCTCACCACCCCATTGGGAAAGGATGGTACTGAATGGCTCAGAGTGGAGAACCAGAGTCCAGAGCTACCATCTTAGACCTGGGGCCCTGATTCCAGATCTTACAAGGCTTGGCAGGGTCATATCAGGGCCCCTCTTCCAAGGTCACCTTGCACGTGGTCTCAGTAGGCCCTAACATTCAGAGTACCTTAATATATCCCTGCGGGTAGGGACCTGAGCCCTGGATGGCCGCTCCCTTCCCCTCTCCTTCCTCTCTAAGTGGGCTAAGGTGGGGCTGGGATGTAGCTCGCTGGTAGAAAGTGTACTCCAGTTGCTGTGTGGGGCCTATCCAGCACCAAGTAAGTAACTAAATAAAAATAAAAAGAGGGCTAAGGGACATGGGATGCACAGGCTTCCCACCCTTCTTTGAGCTTGACACAAAATGGGAATTTACTAGTGCCCTCCAGAGAGATGCTGGGGGTACAATTGGTGGCTAGGGTACAATTTCAGAGGCTCTGGACCAGAGGCACACTTCCCGTGCCTGTGGTGTTGTTTGGGCTCCATCTGGTCCCAGTGCCCTCCTCTTCAGGGCCTACTGAGCAGGACAAGTCTGGCTCACCCTGGCCTGATGTGGGCAAGCACCTGGCTGCCTGGGGCCTGGCCCGAGGTGGAGCCAGACTAAGCAGGGATGGCAGAGCGTAGGAGTGCTGTGCAGCCAGTGCTTCCAGGCCTGAGGCTAATGTGTTTTGGGGTGGAGGTCCCTAGGCTGGGGTGGTGCTCAAAGAAGGGTGTAAAACATCTTCACTGTCTAGAAATACTCTCCAGAAGGAAGCAGGCGATCGACCAATCTCTCATTCATTTGAAAGACAGGATGGAGTGCCAGGCGGAGGGGAAGCAAGGCAGAAGCAGAGGACCATTAGCCAAGTAAATAGGGGTATGGGGTCAATTGAAAGAGAAAAAGGAAGCCAAATAAGGAGTCTGGGGAGAGGGCCGAGGATCGGAGCCGGTTAAGCCCTCAGGCATCAGCACAGAGCCAGGTGTCCCCGGTGGGGGCAGGGAGACTACAGGTGTCTGGGCCTAGTCGGAGCTCCCACCATCCCAGGGCCCAGGAACCCGCCTAGCCGGGGTGGAGGGCAGAGGTCAGAGCGGGCCTCGCATGGCTGTGGAGGCAGGGAGCGGGGCAGGGGCCTGGTGCAAGAGCTGATGCGAGCCCAGAGCGCAGCTAGGCCCTCTCCTCCCCCATCCCTGGGGCTCCCTTCCCGATGTAGGTCATGAGGATGGGGTGGCTGTGGCTGACGGGCTGTCAGCGCCCAGCGGGAGTTCCCCTCCCCCAGCCTTATTTCCCCCACGCCCCTCCTAGCGTGGTGCCCCCTCCCCGGCCCAAGGCAGGGGTGGAGAGGGCAGAAAGCAGGGAGGGAAGGGCCCAGGCAGACACAGCAGGGAGAGAGGGGCAGGTCCCGGCGTGTTGGGGCAGGATGGCTGCGGAGACAGGCTCTAAGCCGCAGGAGCCCGGGATGGGCAGTTTCCCACCCCGACTTCCCCCAGCCCCCTTATCTGCACTCCCCAGTTTCCACCTCCCACCTCCCTCACCTCAGAGCTACACCCACCACTCTGGCCTCCCCCCCCCCCTTCCTCCTTTCCCTCTTATCCTGGGCCCAGAAGGATGTCCGAGTGTCACAGCAAAGGGTGGGGGAAGGCGCTGGGGAGGACGGGTCAGAACCTTCCCCCAACTCCACCAGGCCAGCACCAGCCCCCTCCCCCAGCGCTTCCTAGACTGTTCTTTAATATTCATGAGACTCATGAATACGCAATGTTCTCCTTATGGGGCGGGGGTCTCCACTCTGGCTCCCCCCTTGCCACTCCCTAGATTATACGGAGAAGCTGAAGCTTGGGGAAGAGGGGACCCCAGATGTGGAAGCAGCTGAAGGGGGAGGGGGAGCCGGTCGCTGACGGGCGGCCGCAGTCGCCGCGGTGCCGGGAGGTGGGGGGTGACCTGCTGAGAGGGACCTAGGAGCCTAGCGCCTGGCGTCGCAGAGCCCACTCACCGAGGATCATGCTGGGGACCCAGGCGCCCGGGGTTCCGCGTCGCTCTGTCCCGGGGGCCGTTCTGGCCGGGCTGGGGTACAGGGGGAGGAGTCAGGGGAGGAGCAGAGGAGGCCGAGGCGGAGCGGGGGCGGGGCCCGCAGCAGGTGAGGACGGGAGGAGGGGGACCCTGCGCCCCGGGCTCCGCGAGGGGGCGTCCTGGCCCTTCCTGCTTCCTCCCGCGCTTCTGCTCGCGGTCCCCAGTTCTCCGGGCTTTCCAAGGTGTCCCTGCAGCCAGGGCTGGGGAAACAAGACATTTAGAAGATGGTGTCAGGTGGTGAAGGAATCTGGAAACTCAGACTTCTGGGTTCCCGGGAGGGGCTGACTCCGAGGGCGGGAAGTATGTTCTGCGCTGATACGGGCCAGGATTCCTAAGCATTCTGGGGAGGGATGGTTGGGTGGGACAACGGGGTCCCCTCCATAGTAGTGGGCTGGGACCGGGGTTGAGGAGGGCAGTAGAACATGTTTGAGTGCCAGATGTTTTCTCTGGCCTTGCAGTGGGATGCTGGGGGCTGGGTCTCAAATTCGGATGGTGGAAGGGGGACGTGAAGTTGATCTCTAGCTGTCTAAGTGCTTGGATCCTTAGGGAGGTCTGTGTGAAGATACAATTAATGGTTCTGAAAAGGTGGAAATCTGGTAGGTTTGTAATTTAGAGCAACAAAGATGACAGAAGACTCAGTATTAAGGCAGGACCCTGTAGTGATGGGCTGGATGAGGTGTGGGTGGCATTGCTCCAGGGCTTAAATGCAGGCCATTTCTCCACAAAAGAGAGCAAAGAGATAATAAATTGAAGAGGATTGGTGAGGTGAAAGGGAGGGTGGGGGGTAGGCCAGAGTAAGAGTTGGTGGTCTTCATGACACCTGGAGTAAGGGCCTGTGGGGGGACAGGGCTGGAGGTGTGCAACTCCACCCCACCACGAGGCCAGAGTCTGGGAGTCTGGTAGGTGTCTGGGGAAGATGCAGCTGCTACTGCCAGAACCTGTCTGTACCTGCCTCAGGAGGGAGGGTGGCAGGAGGCTTTCCCAGAATGCCAAGCAGCCAGCTTCAGGCCAACCCAAGCCAGAGGGGAAGGGGGTGTGACTGGGAAAGGGAACACTTGGGGTTTCTAGGGCTGAGGCCTGTGGAAAGATGATGAGACTAGACTCCTAGGACAGTTTAGGAAAGGGAAAGAGTTTTGGGTTCTAGGGGAGGAGGGGGGGGGGATTTGGGATTAGATGGCCAAATAAGAAACAGGAAGTTTGGCTTTCTGTTTCTAGGGCCCAGCAATCTTTTGCCCTCACCCAATTGATCTGGTTTAGAGAAAAGATCTGCTTCTATACCTGCCAAAGCACTCCGGCTCAAGGGCAAGAGAATGCCAAGTGTCAACCCAGGTCCTGTTCTGCTCGAGGCTCAGATACCTCAGGAAACTATGACCTTGCTGCCCTCATCTGTCCTGGTGAGGCAGTGGGGTCTCTGGGCCCCTCAGAGGTCCTCTTGCTGTTGGTCTGAACTGCCATCATCCTGCTTGACTCCTATATGAGAGAGGCCCCTGCTCCTTGGACCTTGCTTCTCTCCTTTTCCCCAGTTTTCTCTCCTGGACAGATGCTAAGACTACACAGGGGCCAGCACCAGGCACAGCTGAGTGATGTCGCCTAGCCCTGGGCCCTTGTGTACCTCCCTACAATCTTCCAGGGGCTCAGAATTAAGGTTGCAGAAGAGGGGTTGCTTAGCTCACTAGGAGGAGGCAGCTGACCGGATGGTGGGGTGACCTTGCAGGAAGCTGGGGGGGCAGCATGTGGGGTGAATTCATTATTGATGAGCCCTGCACCCCGGGCTACTAATGAGCCCAGGCCGGCTGCTCTAATTGATGTCAAGAAACTTGAGACCCCCAGATCATCTTCCTGCCTGCCAGCTGCCTCTTGCAAGCCCCCTCCCCCTCCCACACCCCCAGCTGCTCTTCTCTCCCTTGCTCATTTTCATCTCCACCAACACAGACAAGGAGAGGGTTCAGGCCTGCCAGCCCCTACTCGCATGTTCCTCTGGATCATCCAGGTCTCAAGGTGGGAGGCACAAGTGCTTTGTAGGGTTGAGAGATTTGGAAGAGGAAATCTGGCCCAGAGTCAGAGAATGAAGCTCAAGGACAGAGAGAGTGGTACCAGATTACGCCTGTGGCATTCTGAGTCCGAGGAATTCCTTCCTTGTATTGTGCGCCCGTGGAGAGAGCGTGCCACCCTCACAGCACAGGCATCATACGCCGACACACCCATGCACCAGCCTAGGAGTCACAGCCCACTTCCCATCCTCATTTCCTCCTCACAACAGTGAAATTTCAGATCTAACCAGGCATGGTGGTGTGTACTTGTGACCCCAGCATGTAGGAGGAGGAGGCAGGAGGATTGCCATGAGTTGAGGCCAGCCTGGGCTACATATGTGAGTTTAAGGCCAGCCTGCAATACATAGTGACATCCTGTTTCTAGACAGCCAAATGTGGCCCCTGAAGTGTGCCTGCTGGCACCCTATCCCTCTCCCAAGAACGGGAAGACGTCAGTGTACATACAGCATGGAATTTTCTTCCCTGAGAATTTCCAGGGCCCTGTACCATGGCCATTGTCCTTGGAAACCCTGGGTGACCGTCAGTCATGGCCCTCCTCATCTTCCCTTTGCATGGATGGGTTCTGGCAAGACTTTCCTAGGCATGGAATGGGCTCAAAAGTCACAGAAGTGTGGTTCAGACATGGTCTCCCTGGAGAGGTATTTGGAGGTGACAAAGGCACTGCTAGGTAGGTAGGAGCCGGAGTTCACAACAGCCCAGAAGACAGGTGGACCTCTCTCCCTCTCCCTTCCCCAGTCCAATACATTTGTGGCTATGCTGCCCTCTGGTGGTTACTTTTTGGTCTAGCTAAGGTGGACCTCTTAGCCTCCAAGCAGCCCCTTTCTTGCTTTAGCAGATCAGGACCTCCCTTGGGGAAAGAGGGCCTGGTGGGGTGGGGCTGGGACTCTCATTCCACGTAATTTCCATCTGCAGCCCTGAACTCTATGACACAGGTAAGAAAGAGGGCCTTCTCAATGAGATGTGCTAAGTCTGATCTGTCTGGGACACACTGACCTTGGGCAAATTACATGAATTCTGGGCCTCAGTGTTCTCCTTGTGAAGATAAGGAGTTAATAGTAATAACTACTTCACAAGACTGTTAGAAATTAAACAAAATCATGTATGTAAATTATTTAACACCACCTCTTCCACCAGTACACAATAGCAATAAAAACATAATAGAAAAAAAATCTATCTGGCTCTCTTCTAATTTAGTTTTATGCCTTTTTCTTCTCATTTAATTACTCTGATTTAGGGAAGCCTAGGTACATTCTTGGCACCATCCCCAGTCCATTCTTGCCCACCTTCCACTCTGACCTGCCCTCCATATTCTAACATCTTTGAACTCATTTCACCATCGCTTTGGCCTAAGAGAAGTTGGAGGGCATGGGGCTGGGGTGGGTGGTGTTTATACTCCTGAATCCCATTTGGGGGCCATGTGGGGAGATGGGGGTGTCATATTATTGAATCCCAAGGAAAAGAAGCCAAGAGACAGGCTTCTCCTTCCCACCAGGCCACCCGGGTCCAGGACGAGTCTGGAAGGAGTGGGGTAAGATACACACTGCAGCCCTGGTAGTGGGGCGCTGGGTTGGGTTTATTGCACTTGCAACAGAGTTTAAATAAGTCCCCGGAATCTGGAGCGGAGGGGAGGGGAGGGTGGGGAACAGGGAGGAGAGGGGCAGTGTCAGTGCAGCTGGCGGGCAGAACCCAAGTCCTGCAGGCCCACTGCCCCATCTCCTGGGAGGAACGACAGGGCCTGAGTCTGCAGGCTGAGGTTCCAGATCTGTTGCCACCATGGCCTCGTCAGGGTCCTGGGCAACTTCTGACTTCTCCAAGTCAGGACTGCTTTGGGCCTGCAGGCCCAGGTCTGGAGCAGACCCAACACATAGTCCTGGATCTTCCTGGATTAGGTTATCAATGCCTGGAGTCCAGTTCCAGATCAAACCTGAGCCTCAGACTGGATCTGGCTCCATTCAAGTTCTGATTTCCCCTGGAGCTGGGTTCTGGGCCAGCATCGACCTTTGTGTGGGATCTGTCCTGAGCTGGTCCTGGGGAAACATCCACGGTTAGTGTTCTTTGTTGGCCCACCAGGCCGGGACTGTTGCAGCTGCCAGGTCCCGCTCCTGCGTCCCAGGTTCTTAGCTGGGCTTGTTGTGGATCTTTGGCAAGGCTGACAATGCATCCTGGCACGCTGGAGCTGCGCAAGAAGTCCCGATGGCACGTATGGTCCAGGGAACTACAACTGACTCCCTAGTTATGGTTCCAAGTTGTTTTCAGAAACTCCAAGATGCAAAGGCTGCAGAAGGCTGGGGCCTCTGTCCCTGGTTCTGGGCCCTCCATCCACGAGAGGGCATGTGTAAACGAGGGTCCTTCACAGTACATGGGGGGCATCCTCAGCTTCTTGCCCCCCTCCCTGGCTCTGGCCCTTCAAGTATGTCTCTGGGCTAGGGAGAAGAGCTTCTCCCTGGCCCTCAGCACCTTTAGGAAGTGTCCAGTCCCCTCCCCATCAGCAGACTGAGAGCAGGGGGCCTGGACCTTTAGGATCGGGAGTCTGTGATCAGAAGGACTCAGGCGTCGGAGGTGGCTGGAGGCTTGAGCTGAGCTTTTTCCATGGCAGTGCCATATGGGAGGGAGCGTTTGAAGAATCCAAGCTGATAAAAGGAGACGAGAAGGGAGGGTTTAGGTACCACCATTTCTCCCCAGCCCTCATCTCAAGAAAAAACAGTGGACTCTAGTGCTTCCCACCTCCCCATCCTGTAAAAGAGGCTTCTGAACTCAGTGAGACCATTCCTCCCAGAGGCCCAGTGAGCACACAAGGGCTGAAGCTGGGGGTGACTTGGTATGGAGAGAATCTCTTACCAGTGCTGAACAACACCCCCCGTGAAGCCAGAGGGGAAAACAGTTCGAATCAAGTGCCAAGTCTGATTGCCTAGCAGTGGTTGCCTTTTGAGGTTTCTAGGCCACTTGTAAAATGTGATCAAGTAGTGCTGGCTGCCATGGGGTTTTGGAGGCAGTCACAGCACAAATGCCTTGCATCTGGCATGTGTGGCTCACAGTGATTTTGTAAATATGGGTGAACTTATTATCTAGCGACAAAGAACTCTTTCTAAGCTCAGCACTGCAGGGTGAAGGGAGCTGTCCTGTAGGAAGGGGAGGACGGGCTATGGATGGAATGCAAGCAGCCAGGGCTAGATGGCTCCAGCACACGGCTGGAAGATTGACCTGGAGGGTGATACTTGGGATTACTCTGGGTCAAGGGCAGAGCCTGAGGAGAGGGTGGCTAGGCTGTGGGCAGAATGTGGCTGACCTTGTAGAGGACATAGATGAGCAGACCGAGGAGCAGGAGGCCAAAGAGAATGGCTAGGATGATAATCCACAGTGGGACACCATTGCTGCCTTCTGCCTTGGTCCACTGCACGGCTGTGGCCACCTGGGGAGCAAGTCGACTCATGAGGGGCAGGCGAGATACCTCATTGGTCTAAAGCGCCTGCTTAGGCAAGCACAGGAACTTCCGTTTGGTCCCTGGCACCACGTGCCACTCCAGCCCCGCCCCCAGCAGCCCCGCCCCCAGCGCAGGCTGAGCTGGACACACACACACACACACACACACACACACACACACACACACACAGATGAGTCATGAGGACCCTCATGATTCTTGCTACCCAACACATGGGCCCCATCTCCTTTTGGATCTGGACTCCCCTCCCAGGTCTCATTTTGGGCTAACAGTGCTCTGAATTTAAAAGACACAGATCCCTAAAATACACAGCATTGTCAAGTCTTACTTTTTTTTTGTCCTTGAGACAGGGTCTCACTATGTAGTTCAGGCTGGTGTTAAACTGACTTTGTAGCCCAGGCTGGCCTCAAATTTACAGCACTCCTCCTGCCTCAGCCTCCCCAGTGCTGGGATTACAGGTGTGCACCACCATGCCTGGATGTCTCTTAATTTTGAGCTTTCCTGTATGCTATTCCTTCTCCCAGAATCTTCCTTTCCTTCATGGTTGTCCCTTTATTTATTTATTTATTTTTTGGCAGAACCAGGGATTGAACTCAGGCCCTTGCGCTTGCCAGGGAAGCGCTTATTCCTCTGAGCCATCTCCCCGGCCCCTTGGTCATTCCTTCATAACTCAGCTTGCACTTCACTTCTGCCAGGAAGCCTTCTCTGACCCCAGGACTGGGCTCAGGGGATCCTTGAATGTGTTCCCATAAACACCCTGGCACTTGTCACACTGCACTAGCCCTGCCTGCTAGGCTATAGGCGACATTCCTTATCACTGTCTGAGCATGTGCACAGTCCCGGAACACAGTGACTGTTCAGCAGTCAGGACAGCAAGGCCAGCTCCTACCCCTGTTCCAGGCCTAGTCTCAGCACTCTGAGCCCTGTTTTCTTGGCCCAGACCTCAGACCCTGGGCTTACCTCAAGTTTCTTTTGGGGCAGCTGCTGGGGCAGGATCCGGTAGGGCATCTTCAGGGCTTTGTACTCAGCTTCACACTGCAGGCTGAATGGCTGCTGCTCCTTCTGTGGCAGGGGTTGGAAGGTGGGTGGACATCAGGGCAGACCCTCTTGGGATTGGGAGGATAAAGGGCTTCCCTGTGTCTGACTCAGGCTGTGGTCTTTCCCTCAGTATATAGCCCAGGCTGGTCTAGAACTCTGTGGTCCTCTTGCCTTAGCCTCCTGAGAGCTGAGATTACAGGCACGACCACCATCCCCAGCAGCCTTCCCTGTCTTGGACTCACCTTCCCCTCCTGTTCTTTATATAACAAATATAATGTTGAATAATTATAACTAAAGAATGTGTAACCAGATGACTGTTCAATAAGTATCTTTTTAAAAATGTACTTAGTACAAGGTCTATAGGGTCTCACTACACAGATTGGATTCATAGTGATCCTCTTGTTTTCAGCCTTCCACATGCTGGGATTATAGGCGGTGCTGGGATTACAGGTGCATGCTACCATGCCCAGTTTTGATTGCATCTCAGCCTGCTGGGGCCAGCATGGCATGCCGGGCATTGAACTTGGTGTTTTTTTTTTTTTCCATCACTAATGTGAGTTAATACCTAGGACAATGCTTGGTCCCTGATGTGGGCCCAAGGCTGGGGCTATAACAGAGGAATATCCAGGCATTGATAACCTAAATACCTGCCTGGCAAGTACAAAGTCCTGAGTTTGATTCCCAGTACAAAAAAACAAAACAAAATGTGTGCCCGATAAATGACTTCTCTTTACTATGGCTACCACTGCTTGCCTGGACACTGTGGGCTCATCTCCATCTTTTTTTTTTTAATAAGGTAGTTGTTTGGTTTTTTTTTTTGTTTGTTTGTTTTGGTGGAACTGGGGATTGAACTCAGGCCCTTGAGCTTGCCAGGGAAGCGCTTATCCTACTGAGCCACCTCCCCTGCCCTGCTCATCTCTAGGGTCTATATTCTTGGCCCACTGGTTCCTTTTCTGAAAAGGCTGTGAAAGAGAAGCAGTTACCCCTACTGTGGCCACGAGGTGGCGCTAAGGACACACAGCCCGGCTAGAAAAGTCAAGGCAAGGTGGCAGTAGGGAAAGGGCCAGGAGTGGTCTGGACAGGCCCTGGGGCCAGAGGTCAGGGGTCAAGGGGTTAGAACTGAGGTAAGACTTCCTCACCTGCAGGAAAGTCTTGGCCCAGACTCGGAAATGCAGCTGCAGACTTAGGCTCTGCTGCCGAGCCAGTGGCCCAAGGTCACAGCGCAGCCTGAAACACTCAGTTTCTGGGCATTTCTGGGAAGAAAAGAGGAGGTTTGAGCCTAGAGTCCTGTTTTTCTGGCGCTTCTGAAGGCCTGAGCAGGTACTCAACACCTGGGCCCAAGCCTCAACCCCAGTGTAGCTTACCAGAATCTGCGGCCTGGAGGAGGCAGGGCTCCGGCCTGGAGCGTCTCGTCTCTGCAGGTGGTGTGGGGCCTCCTCAGGATCCAACTGGGGAATGAAAGAGACACTTAGCTGTGTCTTCCACCTCAGTGTCAGCCTACCTTGTTATAGACCCACCCAACCCACCACCTCCACGTGCAAGGTGCCTGGCAAGCTCAGGGCTGAAATGTGGGACTAATTAAACTGGGTTTCAGGAGTTTACATGGAGTTGTGTACATAAGTCACCAGGCCCTGCTCCTGTACCTCCCGGGTAGCTTCAGGCCTCAGTATAACCATTACCTCTTTAAGAAGTTTCCCTATCACTCTGCTTGGTTGCTAGTGTCCAGAGTTGCTGCAGAGTAGCTCTGCCCTTTCACTGCTTTTCGGTTCCTACAACTTTGCTTTTTATTGTCTGTCATCCTTCAGAGTGCAAGCTCCACAAATATGGGATTTGGGCAGTTTTGGTTTTTTTGTGGAACCAGGGATTGAACTCAGACCCTTGACCTTGCCAGGGAAGCGCTTATTCCACTGAGCCATCTCCCCAGCCCCCTGGACAGTTTTGTTTGGTGTGGTTTTCTCTGAGCCTAACATTGTTCAGTTTGTAGACTCATTCAATGAACTACTTGGAGTAAGGACACTAGAAAGCAGGACGTGGGGCCTAGAGAAAGGTCTGAAGGCTTCCTGTAGGAGATGGTGTGGACTGGGGCCTCTGGAAGATGCTAAGCAATAGGGAAGGATATTTGAGGCAGAGAGACAGAAATGCAGTGGACGAGTGTTTTTCTCTTCCCAGGCTTGGTGGTGTCTGCGTCCTCTGCCCCTGCTAGTGGCCTTGTCCCTGCTCTGAGCCAGTCCTCAGTGTCTCTTATGGGCCCCCACAGCCCTTCCAGCCCTCAGCCCTGGCCCTCTGAGCCTGCCCCTCACCAGGGGCCAAGCCCTCACCTTCAGGCCCCGCAGGTTGGGGGTGTGACTGGTGGTGCAGTTGGTGAGTCCCGTAACCTTGGTCACGTAGAGGAGCTGATGACCTTCCCAAGTCTGGGGACAGCTGATGTTCAGCACACCCTGGCTGATGGTGCTGGGGCCGTGGTTGATGAGCTGAGGGGAAGAGCAGTCAGTATGAGGAGGAAGGGAACTCTTCTGCCCTCACTGAGTCCCTGGCCACCGTGGCCCCAACCTGGCCTGCTGTGGCGCTCCTGACTTGGGGCTGAGGGAGAACCCATGGACAGAATGGAAATCCTAGCTGACACTTTCCAATACAACTCCTTCCTTTCCCAGCTACTCAGCTGGCCTGCCTCTCCTCTGGCCTCTCTCATAGCCCTGGCGCATCGCCCTGTCCTCCCTCCTCTTTTCTTGGTCTTCCCTCTGCTCCTCACCACTGTCCTATCAGCTCCTCCTTTCCATGCTTCCCTCTGGCTTGTCCCTCCACTCCCTCTCCCTGGCCTGCCTTGAAGCTCTCCTCACCTCATAAACATGGTGGACGGCAGGGCCCACATCGCCCTCTGTCTGAAGCTGATTCGGGGGATGCCAGTCACTGACTGGGAAGACCACGGCTTCTGGCTTGGACACACTGAGAAGGGGCATGGTTCAGAGGGCAGAAGGAGCCTCACATCCATCCTTCCCCAGATCTGCTGCCCCTCCCAGGAAGGCCCTATTCAGCCTGGGCACTGACCCATTAAGGGAAACCTGGGCCTGGGCCTCCACGGAGAGCCGGAAGGAGACCACATCGCTCTGCGAGTTGTTGAGATTCTTGCTGTGGGACAGAGGCAAGACAGGTGTTGCCGGAGCCCAGCCTGCCAGAACTTCCTCTGGCACCAGGTCGGCTGGCTGCCTCCTCCGCCCACTCACTCCCTACCTGAGGATCTGGAAGTCAAACTGGATGGTTTCCTTTGTGTCCTGGAGATGACGGACAGTGAATCGAAGGCCTCCCCAGATCTGTGAGGCAGGAAGAAGGGAGCTGTTAGGCCAAGCATTTGCCTGATACTCCAGCTTCGGCCCTCCTCTGCCACAGCTATGCTAGGGACTGGGGGTCTCTGTCCTGAGGCCCTCTTTTTTTTTTGTGGAACTGGGGATTGAACTCAGGCCCTTGCACTTGCCAAGCAAGTGCTTAGTCTACTGAGCCATCTCCCCAGCCCGAGGCCCTCTTTCTTAGGCCCCTCCCCCACCCCGTTCCACACTTACGCTGGCTCCTGCCTTCATGGGGTTACCCAGGTCGCACACTAGCAGGCTCTGGTTCACAGTGAAATAGTCACAGCTCAGGCTGGAGAAGTTCTGGAAGTGGGACAGACACAGTCAGGTTTGGGCCCCCCCAGGGGTTGTCCACCTGGGCCACCCCCATGAGTTCCCTCTCACCCCTGGGTTTCTGACAAGTCCTATGTACTCAGCCTCCAGAGGGGCTGTGACACGCAGCTCAGCCTCATAGGCGCCACCTTCACCCATGTTCTGGGCATGGAAAGTCAGGTTCAGAGTGTCCTTGTTCCCCAGGTACACACGGTTCTGGTCCCTGCAGGAAGCACACAGGACCAGGGAATTAATCCTCAAATTGGAACAATGAACCATGAATCAATACATGGTAGAAACAGACACCATTAACTGAGCTCCAACACTGTGACAGGCACGAGGCTAGATACTTTATGTAGGTTACTGCATTTAATCCTTCCAAAAAGTCACAGAAATATATGCTGTTAATCTAACTACATAAAGAAGCTGCTAGGTATGGTAGCACTTGCCTACAATCCTAGTACTCAGGAGGTTGAGGGAGGAGGAGCGCTAGGAGTTCAAAGTCAGCTTGAACTACAGAGGGAGACCCTGTCTCAGAAAACCAAACAAGAGGCTGGGTGTGGTGGCGCACACCTGTAATCCCAGCACTTGGGAGGGAGGCTGAGGCAGGAGGATCTTGGGAGTTCAAGACCAGTCTGAGCTGTAAAAGGAGCTAAAGGCCAGCCAGCCTGAATTATGTGGCAAGAAAACCAAACACATAACCAAACAACATCCCCAAGAAGCTAAAGGCTAAAGCTCAGTGAAGTTCAGTGACTGCTGGAGGTCACTTAGCTTGCGTGTACGTTATTCTATTTTTTCTGGTGCCAGATATAACCTGGACTCCCCACAGTACTGGTGGCCTCACTTACCCAAACACTTCTAGATGTAGGTCCGGGACACAGACGTTGTCCTCGCCACAGTCCAGCAAGATTTGAGCCTGGAGAGCAGGGCACCCTTGAGACAGGGCGTGCCTACCGTTCCTGGGCTGTAGGGTCCCCTCTCCAGGGCCCTGCCCCCAGGTACCCGGGCCTCCAGCCTCCAGGGCCTTTCCCCAGCATGTCCTTACCTTGTCCTCTATCCGGCTCTTGCTCTGATAATGTAGAACTGGCCGCAGGCCGTGGCTGTCTGTGGGGGCTTTGGGGTCCAAGGAGAAGTTGAGGGCGATGTGAATTGGGGAGAGTTTGTCTCGGAATTCTGATTCATTCTGGGGCCAGGGGAGAGTTCACAATGTCAGGGGACTCAGGACCTTGGTGGCTCTGTGAGCCTCCTATTTCCTTTTGTCTATTTGGCCCCAGTTCTGGTTGTGCTCATTGGTTCGGGGGTTCTGGCATCCTAGTCCCCAGTGCCCTTCCTCAACAAAAGAATCTCCCAATTCTTTTTTTCATGGGGGCTGGAGTTTTTCATGGTGACTCAGAAGCGAAGGAAGCCTCTAGCCAGTCTCTGCCCACTCAGGGCCATACCCGGAGATAGATCTTCATCTCCCTGCACTCCTCCCGAGCCCCGTTCTGGATGAGCAGCGTCTCGGTCAGGGCGGCCTGCTTGGAGGCCAGGAACAGCGCTCGCCGGATCCCTCCCTTCTGCTTCTGCCAGTCCAGCTGCAGCTCCACTGTGAAACCTGCAGCCAGGGAGAGAGATGACAGGACTCTGTCTCTACTTCCTAATCTATCTGGTGAGGAGGGGGTGTCCAGCCCTCCAGCTCCTCCATCCCATCCCTTGGACAGCCAGGCAACTCCCTCACCAATGGAATTAGGGATGTGTTTTCCAGAAGCGTTAAGGCAGAAGCTAAGGTTGATGCTAGAGAAAGACCAAGAGAAAAGCCAAGTTGCTGGTGAACAAAATGAGCAGGCGTCCTCTTTTCTTCAGATGAGGATGCACCCATGTTTGTCTCCTTCCTGGGGTGCATTTGATCCCCTGCCCACATCACTATAGTTCCCAGGGTCCCGGCTCACCAGGCCACAGGGTTTCCCTCCAAGTTGCAGGTGCGCTCCTCTGGGTTGAACATGGCAGGGAAGATGGTGAGTGAGGCGGTGGCCGACACGATGGGGCGACCCCTGTCAGACATGGATGTGGAGTAAATAAAACCAAGACTCCTCCAAAACCTGGACATAAGGCCTGTAACCCTAATTTGCTCTGCACTGATTTTCCCAAGTGTAGCTCAGAGAGAAAGTCCCAATTTCCAGTGTCCCCCAGATGCTTCGGTGGCCCCTTGGAGCTCATACCTGTACACTACAGCTCTGTCCACGCCAAAGGACCCCACAATCAGATCTGCAAGAAGAAACCATTCCTTACAAAGCAAGCCCAGAGCAGGATCTGCTGAAGCAAGGGGACACCGCCACCTCGTGGCTTCAGCCTAGAATTGCATCCAGAAGCCTAGGAAAGGTAAGGACAAGTGAGCAGAGGAAAGGGCCCTGGGCACAACTCACCAGGATATCCATTGCTGTCCAAATCTTGGCCTCCTCGAAGGGCAGAGCCAAAGAAGTCTGGGGTGTGGCCTGCTGCCCACAGGGGCTGCAGAACCTGGGAAGGCTGAGAGGCCAGCCCACCTGGGCCCCCAGGGAACACAAACACTACTCCCTGCTGGGTCTCCCCACCAAAGGGAGCCCCAACAGCCACATCTGAAAGACACAGTACACATCAGTCAGTGGGCTGTGACTCCAGGGCACCAAATTTCTATTACTCGACCCCAGAATCCTATACCCCTACTCATTTTTTAATCCCTGTTTTCTAATCTCTTCTCTCCTTCTGAGGCAGTGTGTCACTATGTGGTTCAGGCTGGGCTTAAACTCGCTTGTGTACCCCAGGCTGGCCTCAAACTATGGGGATCTTCCCACCTTGTCCTCCTGGGTTTTGGGATTATGGGCATGTGCCACCATGCCCCGCTATTTTCTAATCTTTTTAAACTAAGACCAGACTTTGCTATTGAGGTTCACACTTCTTGGAAAGTCAAGGGGCTTGGAGTCTATGGTGACAGACCCTTTCCCCTTCCACCCCATTGTTTTTTTTTTTGGTGGAACTGGGGATTGAATTCAGACCCTTGCACTTGCCAGGCAAGTGCTTATTCTACTGAGCCATCTCCCCGGCCCCAAAGGATATATTGTGACTAAGCTGTCACTTTTTTTTTCCCTCTTTTGGCGGAACTGGGGATTGAACTCAGGCCCTAGCGCTTGCCTGACAAGCACTTACTCCACTGAGCCATCTCCCCAGCCCAACAATCTCCGCCCCCCCCCCCAACTGGGATTGAACTCAGGCCCTTGTGCTTGCCAGGCAAGTGCTTATTCTACTGAGCCGTCTCCTTGGCCCCATCCTTCCATCCCTTTGGATCCAGCTTCCAATTCATCCTCAGCTCCCTGGGCCCGTGGTGCTTACCATTGTAGCCATCCTGGTCCAGGTCCCCCAGGGGTGTCAAGGAGCTGCCAAAGCGGCCAAACTCATCAGAGCCAGTGAGAGTAAGGGTGGGCGTGGGGTCTAAGCCCCTTGGGTGCTGCAGGTAGACATAGACTCTGCCCACCTCCTGGGGCCGCCCGTCAGCTGTCCGCTCCATAAGCAGGGGTGCGCCCACCAGCAGGTCATCCAGCCTGGGAGGGAAAGGCAGACCCAGGCCTCCTGATACCCTGTCTTGCTACCATCTCCCCAGTTTTAGTGCCGGAGCCCCAGGTATCCTGGATCCCATGCTCCCCTCCACCACTCTCAGCTATCTCCTTGTCCCCTCAAAGGGGATGGAACCGTGAGAAGCTGGAGAACAAGCTCTGCACGCACCCTGCTTGCCTGCGGCCCTTGCCCTCTTCCCTCCGGAATGGGAAAAGCATCACGTGTGTGTTCCCCCTTGCTACTCACCCATCCCCGTTGAGGTCAGTGGCAGCCACTGCATAGCCAAAGTAGGAGGCCATCTAGGGGAGGGGACAAGAGGGCACACTGATTAGAGCAAGATGGGGGTCAATAAAAAGGATCAAGGGGGGGCTGGAGAGATGGCTCAGTGGTCTAAAGCACCTACTTGAAACAAGCTTGGCAAAGCACAGGGACCGCGGTTCGATCCCCAGCACCACATGCCAGCCAGACCCGCCCCCTGGTGGGCTGAGCTGGCCACACACACACACACACAATAAATAAATGTAATAAATAAAAATAAATAAATATTTAAAAAAAAAAAAAAGGATCAAGGGGGACCGTGAGGGGTAGTTCAGGAAGCTGGAGCACGGCTGGCAGAAGGCCAAACTGCAGCCACGCGGGGAGCATCCTCACCTGTTCCCCTGAGAAGTTGTAGAGGGATCGCATGTCTGAGCCATTCAGGATGGTGACCTAGGGATAGGAGATAAGCGTGTTGGTCCCAGACAGTCCTCGGCTGAAGGACAAATGGGTTCAGGATCCTTGGGCACATGCTCAGCCTGCCTGCCCTCCCCTCCCTCAGCTTTGCCCTCCTGTCTCCATCTCTTTGCTGTGCGGCACCACCTCATGGTGCTTCCCTAATTTTTCCTTCATGCCATTGATCAACCTGTGGTAGATTTCACATTTAGGTTTGCCGCCCATCTCTGCCCACAGGAATGTAAGACCCACGAGGGAGGCGGGGCACAGAAAGCGCTCAATAATTACACCTGAGTGCGCACTTGGGCTTCAGGCCTACCATGTTCAAAGCCTAAGTCAGCCCTCATTCCTGTTGTCCCAGGCCACACTTGCTCCCTTGTGCTCCCTGGTGATTGACCCTCCCAGCCCCCCTCCGCCCCCCACCTCGGTTCCTGCTCTCTTCTCCACTCTTGCTGCTGTGATTTGTACTGGGAGTCTGGCCCAGGGGCGTTACACAGCTGCTTCTCCTGGCTCAGCACCCTCCTCCCAGGGCAGCAACACTGACTGCTCCACAGCGATGGAGGATGGTTACCTCTGGCCTGGAAACCCCTAACAGTTCCCTACAGCCACAGCCATGGCCAGTCTCACTTCTTGGCTGGTCCTGCATGGTGCCAGAGAATCTGACCCTTGCAGCTATGTTGTCCCACCTTCCCTTATGAACAGCCCATGAAGCCACCCCATTAGCCTGGCATGTTCCCTCTATGCTGCTGCCCAGAACAGGCTGCCCCCTCCTCTACACTGCTGTATCTCCTTGACTGCCTTCCATGGCACAGAAAGAGCGCTGGCTAGAATAAGAGACAGCTAGATTTAAAGCTCCAAGCAGCCACCTACTAACTGGAGGATCTTAAGCAACTCCCTCCATTTCACAAGACTTCAGCTTTGTCATACGTAAAATGTGAGCAATAACATCTACCCCACAGACTTATGAGGAATCAGAAGTGACAGTGCCCGGCGCACTGAGGGCTTACCGATCGTGGCTCTGCCTGAGGTGAGAACAGTGTGTGTCTTATCTCACGTACTTGATTGGAAGTGTTTTGTATGACGGGGTATGATGTCTTTTTCATTTTCCTATCTCTTACCTTGCCTCAATAATAAATGCTGTTAATTGAAGAAATCCCGTGGTACTCTTATCTGCAGGGGTACTTGTCATGGTCTAATAATACCAGCTACCCGTTGTACACTGCCTGGCAATTCACTAAGTATTTTGACGAGCATTATCTCATTTCACCCTTTCAAGAGCCTTGTGAGTTCAGAGCTATTATTATCCCATTGTACAGAGAGGATGGAGGCTTAGAGAGGTTAAGCAGGAAGCAGGAGGATCGAGCCAGTGCAAGTGCCAGAGAACCTGAATGAGACCCTGACTCCAAAGCCCATGTTCTGATCTATGTTTTGAGACTTCGAAAACTGATGTGTAAGGTCACTGGGAGGAGAGGAACTAGGAGGTTGGTCCAGGACTTACGTAGCCATAGGTGAGGTTCCCCTTGGGCACGGCAGCTACAAAATCTGCCAAGACAAGAGAGAGTAGTGAGCTCTGGCAGGGGAAGGGGAGCAGCACACCTGGGAGTGTTGAGCTTTACATCTTTTTTTTCCTGTACCAGAGATCGAACTCAGGACCTTGTGCTTGCCAGACAGGTACTTGTGCTGCTGAGCTATCTCCCCGGCCTGCTTTTGGGGTTCTTGAAAACAGGGTCTCACTGTGTAGTTCCGATTGGCCGACTGGCCTTGAACTCACTATGCAGCCCAGGCTAGCCATGATGCTCCTGAGGTTACCAGTGGGCGCCACCCAGCTAGGTTCTTTCTTTCCATCCACCCTGCTCAGGCCAGGTCTAGGGATGGACGCTCACCTTCTGTATCATCACCGCTGAATTCACCCACAGCCACAGAGTATCCTGGAGGCGGGCATGGGAGATGTTAGCTTTCCTGCTGTACAGCCCCGCTGCCCTGACCAACCCTGGTCTTCCCCTCCCCCACAGGCCTGCCTAGGACAGGTGTGGCACCCGGATGGAAGAAGGGAGGCAAAGACATGAGTGGGGACAGGGGCCTTAGAGCTCTTCCCTACCTCTTCCTCCCCCTCCCCCCTCGCTCACTCACCCATGTAACTGTCATCGTAGATGGAGCTTGCCTGGCGAGTCTGTAGCTGCCCCTGGACCAGGTTGATCAGGTACTCAGGGTAATAGGATTCTGCGATCTGCTCCTGAGTGGCGGACAGGATCTGGCCTGGGGAGGGGGTCAGGAGGGGTTGGGTGGTGGGGAAGTGGTAGAGAAGGACCTATGGTGCGACTTCAGGAGCCTGGGTCAGGGAAGGGAAGCAGGCAGAGGGTGGTGGAAAAGGATGTAAGTCTCAAGAGGAGAACCAGGAGGGGCAAGGAGGCAGCAAGAAGGACTGGTGACCCAGGTGGGGAGTGGGGAAGGAAGGCTGGTCCCAGGTCCCCAGGAGGGCAGAAGTGCTTACCTTGCCAGAAATAGCTCCCTGGTCCACCCAGGACCACCCGGCCTGTCTGTGGAGGGAAGGAGGTGAGCCAACCACATGGTCCTGACCCCTGTGGCCGCCCATCGCCCCTCTATCGGGGCACCTGCTCACCTTGGTGATCTCAGCACTGAAGCCCCCTTGGCAGTAGCCCTGCCCTGCCTCTGAGCTGAAGTCTGTGGAGGAGAAGGTGGGGATAGTGAGCCCTGCACATGGGCCAGGCAGGGAGGAGTGAGGGGACGAATGAGGCTCTTAGTGTGGGGGGCCGTGGGGAAGCAGCCAGGTGCAGGAGAGCCTCCCACAGGGAAGGTGGCTGGCCACATGCCCTTGCTTGCTCCTACCTGAGCGGCAAGGTGCATACTCCAGGATCCGCGTGAAGTTGCCTGTGGAGAGGTAGCAGGTGCCCACAGGGTCGCTCAGCCGCTCCTTCTCGGTGCGCCAGCTGTACAGTGGAGCACATGCCTGGAGGGCCCGAGGAGGGGCTTCAGGTGTATGGTCCCATAAAACCTTTCCTTCCTCCCTCCGGCCACCCCCAGGCACCGCAGCAGAGCCCCCAGCTGCTCACCAAGATGGAGGAGTCATGGGCTCGCACTGTCGCCCCGAACCACTGCAAGGACTTGTATTCCACAGGCACCTCTCCCTCTGTACTGGACAACGAAGACTCCAGGATCCGGGAGCCTTGGGGAGAGAAGGGGTCCTGTTGGGCCCTGGCAGCTGAACTCCAGAGCAGCCTTGTTTCTGGCCTAAGGATGCACAGCCTGCTACAGCCCTGAACATCCAACCTCTGTCCCTATCCCATGGTTAGGGAGCTGGAGAGGATCTCTATCTGCTTGGGGTAGACTCAGGCCTCCTCTAGAGGCACACCCACTGGGGTTTCTAGAGTCACCTCCTCTGGGCACTCTGCTTCCTCCTCCACCTGGGACCAGATACTTGCAGGGTTCTGAGGCAAGAGTGTGGTGGGAAGGTGGAATTTCCCAAGAGGGTGATGCTGGCTGCGCTTCTCTGTCTGTATCTGGGCCTGCGTCTCTAATAGCAATCTATTCCATTTACTTTCTTCTTTCTCCTTCCCCTCCATTTTTTTTTTTTTTTTTTGTATTTTTTATATCTTAGGGAAGGGTCTACAGGGTGTTCAGGGTTTCACTACTACATCGGACTCATAGTGATCCGCCTGTTTACAGGCTCCCAAGAGCTGGGATTACAGGTGCATGCCACCATGCCTGGTCCCAATCACTGTCTCAGTGTGTCCCAAGGTGGGGCTGGCACGGCAGGTCTGGGAACCCCCCCAGCCCCTGTGCCTGCTTGCAGGTGCTTTAATCTGGTGAGCTATTTGGTCGGCCCTTGAAACAGGGTCTTGACAAGTAGTTCAGGCTGGCCTTAAAGTTGTGTTAGCCTCCTGCCTCAGCCTCTTGAGTGCTGAGACTGCAGGTGTGTACTACTGTGCCTGGCTCCCACAGACTTTCTTTCTTTCTTTTTTTTGGTGGAACAGGGATTGAACTCAGGCCCTTGCACTTGCCAGGGAAGTGCTTGTTCTACTGAGCCATCTCCCTGGCCCCCCCACAGACTTTCTTGATCTTTGTCTGTCTTTCTTTCCAGGCCTCCTCTTTGCCTTCTACATGAACACCTTTCTTATTCCTGATTCTCATTTGTTTTCCAGGCTTTCCAAAATCAGTTTGTTTAGGAGATGGGCATATAGTGGTTTAGTGGTATAGCGAGTCTTTTTCCAATATGAGGATTAAACCTAAACCTAGGGTCTTTGCACTGAGCTATACCCCACTCCTTTCTTTTTTCTTTTTAAATTTTTATTTATTTATTTATTTATTTGTGTGTGTGTGTGTGTCTGTGTGTGTGGCCAGCTCAGCCCACCAGGGGGCGGGGCTGGCTGGCATGTGGTGCTGGGGGATTGAACCATGGTCCCTGTGCTTTGCTGAGTTTGTTCTAAGTAGGTGCTTTAGACCACTGAGCCATCTCACCAGCCCCATGCATTTCTCTTCTTCTTCCCATAATCCTTCAGGCCACAGCTCAGGTTTTC